TTCACAACTACAAACATCTTACCTGCATCAAAGACCGTGGTTATCAAGGCTGCTAACTGACAGCGTGAATCAGCCCTTTCAGGAGGGGCACACAGACTTCATTGTCTCCTTTTAAATGTGACCTGTATGGCGCTTGCAGTCACATAGGATCGGAGCAAACCCCTGTTTCTGTTAGAATTTTCTTCACCATGCACAGGCAAGACGTGTGTGCTGTGTATAGACGGCTAGCTTACCTTTGTCAGCCGCTATGCTCGAGCCAGCCTCCGACCATCCTGACACCATCTTGCCATCGGGTGTAGGAAGGTTGGGGAGAAGAGAATGTGGTAAATGCTGCGCAGGTCTGATATCACTATAGAGTTATCCAGCCGAAAGCCATCTTCCTGCTCCTACCATGTCGTGGAGCATAATATGAGCACCGTCCTTCACAACGGTCACATTGCCGCAATCAGTTTTTTTACTTTAATTAAAACTCCGCCTGCTGGTGACACGACAGTCCGACCGTCGATTTCGACGATGTCCACCGTGTGCCCCACAGCGGCAAGGTGGGGGCAGGCACAGTGACTTGCGCGTGAATCAGTTTATAATGATGGTAGACTTGCGCAGCATCTACCGCACTTTCTCGTTCCTACTCCCCTCCGGGACCCCGTTTCAAAACAGAGTCATGAAAACTGGAGACGGGGGAACGCAGGTGGATGGCGCGACCGGGCTTGCACCTTGGCGTTCCACTCCACACATCCTGGTCCGCACAGCAAATGACCAACAACAACACTTGGGGAGGGGATGACAGGAGTCCCACTGTGCGCGACGCTTGCCGACAACCGGGTCTGCCACCGCATCCCAAAATGTTGACATTGGTTACGATGCACAATCCGATAAAGCCCGCCAGGATCCGATATGGCCCCCGAGTTGGTCCAGTGCATCTACTATGTGGCCCGTTTCGGGGGCATAGTTAGTGACACACGGTGATATTCGAAACACCGAGAGCGATTTTAAGACGACACGTCTTTTCATGCAGAGCTGATGTTATGGCAACTGCTGTACTCGAAACATCGTAGACAAGGGCAGGCTGCCGTAGTTAGACCTGCCTTTGCCCATCTTCGCAGTCAATCTCGACTTTCAGGCAGACTAGCCTGTTTAAGCAAACAGAGTTCCGTAAATGGTTGGGGTGATTTAACGAATAAAACCAGAGCAATTAATGGCGAAAGAAACTGCGGCAAGTCTTACGGTCCCTTTGGCCATTGCTTCCGAGGTAAGAATGGCCCGTAAAGCTTCACCTTTGTCATTGCAGGCGACACTAAATTTAAGGGGTCCAGACAGTCTTGACTGCATCCCATGACGGAAGGTCAAGTTGTCATCTAACGAGGTGTGCCCCTCCCCTCCCCCCACTTTAAATCATGATTTTTGCCTACATTGACAAAACATTTTCAGTGAGTCTAACCGCAGTCTTCGCTTTATCATGGCCATTTCAGCTCTCTCCCACTCAAAAGTGTCCATGATTATGTACAAACACTCTGAATAACCACCAAAAGTTATAAGCTCAAGAAAACCTTCAGACCTGTTGATGGTTTTATGTTGAAATATAGAGATCCGTTTTCATGTCCAGATCATTCTACGTTATTAGGTCCTCCAAAAATCTATTCTGCTTACAAACGTGCTCTGTAACCAGACCTGAGAGAAAAATTAAGGTTCGCGAAACGTCCCTACTAAACCTCTTTTTGCTTCAGACTTGTGTATCATACGCTATTCCCGCTTTCCTTAAACAATCGGGTGGGATCTTATTTCGTAGCCGCACCTGCAGTAAACAAGCCCCAGTCGCCGGTGGTAATAGGGGGTTTAACACTAACCCCTAAACCTTACTCTAGTCCCAAACTCCTAATCCTAACTAGCGAACCCAATTCCTAACCCTAACCCCTAACAGTAACCCCTTACCCTAAGCTCTATAAGGTGCGACTACGAAGTAATATCTTACCAACAATCGAAAACTGAACTGTGCTCTAGCCATCTTGAAACTTTTTAAATGAAATCTTAAATATTTGCTCCTCTCTTGATACTTTTATGAAAAGACCAAATAGAATTTCTTCTTCGCATCTAAAACTCCTAAGACGCAAAAGGGAACTTTTCTACAAGCTAGGCCTACGTGACAGTCTAAATGACGTTAATATTTCAATAAAAAAGGGATAACCAGACTAAACGATGTATTCGCTAATCATATTTTTACCTCTCCTTTCTCCCCTTCTTTTCCTCCTTCCTCTGTTGAAATTTGGAGTAATCTTAAGCGTCTCATCGTCAATCGTAGCACACTGGCACGTGAGGGTGTTGATTTAGACTCCTTGAATGAACATTTTATCATTGGTCACAGTGACTCCTATTCTCCTTTAAAAGACATCTCTGTGGAAACAGTGCTAAATACCCTAAATTGTCCGCGGATCAACAGCTGCCTGACAGTGGGCTGTCTCACCTTTTCTCCCTAAATTTTGCTGTTCTCAGATAGCCCCTGTTTTAATCCACCTTATTAATATGTCTTTAATGGAGCCCAAAATTCCTTACGCCTGGCGTACAGTGAGAATCATGCCTATCGCAAAAAAATCCGCTAATTTTGGTCCTCAATCTTTTCGTCCAATTGCCTGCTCTTTCGCACTGTTAAGCACGCCGAACGCGTTGCCCTGGATACTATAAAGCCATTCGCTTCTAGTTTATCAGATCCGTTGCTCTTGTCGTATATCTGTATATCAACATTCAGTTTTCCCGTTCCTATCTCGCTATCTTACATGTTAAGAGTCGGAAGTACTGAGGCTAAGACTTAAATTAGCCCCAAAATAGTCGTTTCTTTCAGTGTGAACCCTTTTCACCCTCGAATAATTTTTAACTTATATTCTATCTACAGTAAATGGCGCCCTTTTTGCTGAAATTTTTGAATCTATACTTCAAAATAATGCGAATTCCTATTTCCTCTTCCTGCCCTTCTGTCTCTATATTATGCGCCTTTGGAGGACTGAAATGAGTTCATAAGTTGTTTGAGATATTATGGATGCCAATATCCATCCTCGACGTCATTAGAGATTAATCTCTTAAATGACATGCCTGCAGATATTGGCAAGCGATGGAAGTAGGTGACAGCGGCAGTGTGGGGTGAACTGACGGATTCAAATAGTTCTTTCGTTACAGACAGAGGTCCTTGGTGCGATAGTTTACGAGATTTATGTCTGTTTTAAATATAAGTAGGGTTCAAAGTTGACAGCTGTCGTCATTGTCATGCTTTTGACTCATGAGGGTAACAATCGGGAGGTGGCACCCTAAAAATCCGCCTAACCAAAGCTGCCTGTCTTACGCGACCGGTGGTATTAGGGGTTTTATGGGTGGTGGCTGGTCGAGATGTACGATACTAGTCGACGGCAAGCCTTATTTGAACAGGTGAATGATCGATGTTGGCTCGCTCTCCGTTCCGTTATTACAAAATGGGTCGCCAAAGACAGCATAGTGGTAACGAAAGAGTGGAAGGCGTATAACTGTCGTCCCTCAGAAGGCTGTCTACATTTTTCTGTAACCACTCAAAGAACTTCAAAGGTCCTACCACCGGACGGCACACTAATGCCATTGAGGCATACTGGAATAGACTGAAAAGGAAACTCTACGAGGGAGGCCCTGTATGTGATCGAGCTGGGTGGGCTCACATAGACGAAGTACAGTATCGTCTGTGGTTTGGCCTCAATGCCATGTCTTTGACAAATGCCTGGTAACTGTTCCTGTCCCATGTTGTGCAGACTTATCCTATTTAAAAGTGATCTTGTTGTGTAATAAACTGCCATAATGCGAATGCATGCCGTATATTCAGGTGTGCGTGTGTAACGATGGGGAATGTTGGGTAACAGCGACCATCGTCCATGTAACCTCGTGCGATGTTCGTTCGGCTAGCCCATGCTAGGCCGTCGGCGAAAGTCCAAGTAATGCGTGAAAGTAGGCCTGCAACCGCTGATATAGCCTGAAGGCATTTGAGTTGACTGTTAAAGGTATTATTTCTAAGTAACGGATTTTTTGGGTGCCATCTCCCGATTGTTACCCTCATGAGATCGGAAATCGAAACAACTGGTCGAACGAGTGAAACTTTGATGTTAAAAAAGACAGATGTGTACTGCCTGATCTTCCTACTTAGATGACAACTTCACTTGACTCGAGACTAATCTTTACACCGACAGCTAGCTGAGCGTAATTTGTAGACCGTCGGTCGGCGTCGGACGCTATCTAGAACCCTTTGATTTTACCACGGTGTCTACCCTTGAATCCCACTAGTTAAAACCACTTAAGTTCAGATTCCCTGAGGGGTTCAGATTGAGTCCCAAAGAGTAGTTAGACAAGCATGTCCCGCAAGCCGATCCAATAGACGAACTCCCAACATAGCAGAGGGAATGATTAGGTGAAATCATTCAAAGACAAGCTTGGACTCAAGTTCGTATGCAAAGCCTAAAGCAAGATAAATGTGACCCAACTGCGAACAAATGCAAGCGCTTCTTTTTCTGGATAGGGACATTACGTCACTGATCGTGCTGCTAGTTAAAAGATTCATTGTCACATACTGTCTGAGGCACGATTACAGTGGACAAGATCAAATTCAACCTCCGTGCATCGTAGAATGCAAGGCAAGTCCTAACAATCAGACCTGTGCAAATAATATCATGCCTATGAAAGTCCACAGTACTTCAATGCAGAGAGTTTTAGTCTACATGACAGTTCGACCATCGTTGTCGACGACGTCCACTGTGGGTTCTACAGCAGGGTGAAGCAGCACGGTGACAAATGGTGACCCCGACGTGATCCGAACAAGTTTATGGTGAGTATAGACTTGCGCAACATCTCCCGCACTATCTACTCCCCATCCCCACCTGAACTCGGTGTCAAGATACAGTCGAGAGGGCCGGAGGCGAGGGAGAATGCCGGTGGATGGTGAGCCTAAAACAGCTGGAATTGCTGGTGCTTCCACAACACAAACCGAAATTCTGGGCTCGCTATGTGGACGATATCTTTGTCATATTTGTCGCTTTCCTAAACACTTTGGTTTTAAGGCCACCACAATCTTCGTGGCAGACGAGGACATCCAGAACTGCCACATGGTTGTTTTCCTCCTCCTCCTCCTCCTCCTCCTCCTCCTCCTCCTCCTCCTCCTCCTCCATCATTAGTTGAATGTACGTAGAGACTGTTTTGAGACGTTCTTTGAATGTCACCGTCTGATCCTGTTCGATGCCAACGAAGGTTTTGCCCACATACCGAGCCCAGAATTTCGGTTTGTGTTGTCGAAACACCAGCATTTCCAACGGTTTTAGAGCCGCCTCGGCTATGAATGCCGAAATCGGCGAACACATCGCCGTAAACGCCGATCTGATGCAGTTGCGGAAAAAGCAACTACGTCGGGTAAACTGGGAGATTACTTCGGATGCGAATGACCGAGCATGCAGCAGCAGTTAGGCGGGGAAACGCTAGCTGTCATGTGACGGCTCGTTCGCCAAAAACCCAACCATAAATTAAAATTTAACACAGCGGAAATTCTTGCCGGAGGCGACAACTGTGTGAGCCGCGAGCTGCTCGAGCCATAGTTCTCAGGCGCGCAATCCATCAACAAGGGCAATGACCTCCGTTATCATATTCCGTGCTGAGATTTTCCCCAAGCAGGGGAATCAGTCAGGTAGGGATGGCGTAGGCGAGCAGAAACCCTAGTGACAGCGAGCCAAACTGTCGAGCACCCAACACGGATGACTATATCGCCGCCATTAATGACTCAGACGCGGACTGACAAGCCATCATCACATCATTTGCGGCCTTCAGCAGTGATTGCGAGACCTGCTAATTATAGTACGCTTATGGTGCCATGTCAGCTACGTACTATGGATACTGTACTCGTTGTGTCACCACTGCCCTCATCTGCGACTGTCTCAGATACTGGGTTCGAGAGAGAATGCGAAGCGTCAGGTCGATAAGTTTCTTGTTCCAGTTATCGCATCTTTATCTTCTAAACTGCTTCCTGGCATCTACCTGCTTACTTCTATCGGCAATGACAGTGACGTTGATGCACCGATTACTTCTTTTTATGCTGGATGAACTTACTTTCAACAAATTCACTTTCAACTGAGTATGCCGTTCGCAGTACCTGATGGACGACTTACTGGACTAAACATAAAACCCCAGTAACAATGCGTGTTTGGCGAAAATCCGTACTACAGTTTTAGATTGCACTAAAAGCTAACCAACCATGCTCAGGGAATTACCCCTGCTTCACCTTCGGCTGAGCCATTTGTTCTTTTAGGGCGGTTCAAGAATTCAAAAGTACGCTAAATAATGTTGTGCACGGTTCAGTACACCATGGGCATGTCCTCACGTGCATCGTGCACCTCAACACAGCGGTGCGCATGAATTTTGCGTAGAAAGAAGCGACAGTTACCGGCATATAGGGGGGCTGCACAATACGAACTTTGTGTGGACCATCTCAATCCATTCTGTTAGTTATCTTCGTCTACTTATGCAGGCAGCTTTCATCACCCGAGATTAGTCGAAGAGGGGAGAGTTGTTGCATGTGGGCTAACCTGTCTGTGGTTGTGTCTCGACGGACCCTCAAGGAACCTAATCCGCATTGCATCCAACAGCAAAAGATGAGTATTTTTCATACCAGCTATTTCAAAGTACGCCCGATGGTCCTTTTCAATGCGCAGGGCGTGTTTAAAGTATGATATTTACAGTAACCTTTTATTGACCACCGAATTATAGCCCGTCTTTTGCAATGACGTCCCGTCCAGAGCACTTTTTTTCTTTCAAATGAAACAACAGCGACTTTAGGAAAATTACCAGCTTACATGATAGTGCGTCACGCATGTCATCTTGTCGGCTTATAGGACGTATTTGCACTAAGAGAAGTAAACATGTATACGTTGCCAAGGGGTTGCTCCAATGTTGATTGTTAGGAACATCTCACCCTCGATACAGTATCGGATCACTGAATTGTCTTGAAAATGTCAAAGTTAGGACAGACCCATTTAGTTGTCAGTGATCATCAGGCGACTTTACCTTCTGCAATGTAACAAATAGGGTTTTGTGCAATTTATTAGGACTTCGCAGTGTAATCCCATCCACAGCTTTTACTATATGCACTATTAGGCATTATATATATATGCTATAATGCCGAATGTTTGGAATGACCCTTTAATACCAGTTTCATTAAAAACCTGTCGCCATCAGTGTTTTGTTCAGAGCATTCTACCTCAATTTCGCATGAAACAGGAACAACTTCTTTAATGCCAACTTCAAGCAGTTGTTCGTTCATATGAAAATATGTTTTCATCAGTCCGCGAAGTGTTTTGTCATTGCAGATTATGAGTAATTAACTATACTGAGGATATTAAAAGCTACTTCACTACGTTTTTTCGAAAAGCGTTTTGGGAGACAATGCAACCCTCACGAGAGCGTTACGTAGCGGAATTATCTGATAACTGTTAAAATATTGACTAGCTGGATCAGTGGGTAACGATAAGCGGACGTTGTGACGTCCTGACTTGTAACGGATGTGGTCTACTATAATCAATTAACAATTTCAGTAAATACTTATTTTGTGAGTGGAAGTTTACAAGGTTCCCCATGCCAAATACATTAGCAATCTTTGGACGTTAGATAAAGAGTTCAATTCCTGTCATTGTCTGCTTTTAAAATTCTTCCGCAAGCTTACGTGATGGACATCTTGCAATCTAAGAAGACGGAACATTGAACGTATCTGTATTGTTTTAGGAATAAAATTTCAAAAAAATAGATAAAAGCTCTGCCTGCCTTTTAGGGGAGTAAGAAGCATTATAGTCCTCAGACCACATTTAGTATCCAAGCTCTTTGAAGAAGGCTCGCAGTTCGTTTTTGTCCAATTGACCATCATGATCTTTGTCAATAGTGGCAATAAAGTCCTGGACTGCCTGTAGGTCTATCCCAGATCCTTTGAGGGCTGCCATGAGCTCTCCGGCGCTCACTTTTCCAGACTTATCGGCGTCTAGCTCCTCCATTAGTTGATCGATTGCGATGCTACGAAATAAAGAAAAAACACCAGGACTTACTCCGACGGCATTGTGTTAATCTACAAAAGCTCCGATGATTTTCTTATGAGCAGCTATAATGACACAGTATTTATAGTAGCAACGCTGTACCGTGTGATTGGACTTTTCCAATCCTATTGAAAGGCATTGAGCAGTAGGTGCTTGAAATGCGATAGGCTGATTTACCACACTGCTCTGCTATTGGCATATCGGTTGAGACGAATGTCCGTGAAGTTATCACGTTCTGAAAGGCAAGCAACTGAACGCTGACCTGAACGGAGGGTGAAACGGAAGTCAACGCCATACTCGAACAGTGGAAATGCATCTGATATGGGCCTACTACGGAACATAAATTTTTCATGTTAACCGTCGTAGTGATCATAACGAGGACAGATTATTCGCTCTTATTGGTATTTTATACTGAGCATAATTTAAAACCCCTGGGCTATAAACTAAACCTGCTTCTGTGATAAACGAAGAAATATCTGGCACAACTGAGCGAATGTACGACACAATTCCTTCAAGCAAGAAATTTGGAAGGGTTAAAATACTAGAGGTTGTCTGAATATTGTACTTGGGTTGGGAATAGCCCCAGCGATCTTCGTACGCTGTTGTGCAGGAATGGACCGACATCGAACTTTGATGCATGCCAGTCAGAAGACGTCTTTCTCGTTAGTTTAGCACTAATTTATTACCTAAGTACTCAAACCTTGGAAGGTTACGATGTCTTCTGTTCTGGTCAACGGTAGTGTAAACACGAAGCGAAAAGTATAAATTAGCTACAGATTAGGCTTCTCGACAGTGGTTAATATGAAGGCTGCAAATTTAACCGCGCACTTTACTTCAAAATCTGGTCTTCTTCGACGCGGCTTCCATCTCCATATCCAATCGTCATCTGTTCCTATAGTGGTTTTTAATGAAGGCAACAGACCAGCTCTAAAGACGCCCATTAGCCCTGACTAAGTAGTTTACGCCTATAATCATGAAACTTTCGGATTAAAAATCCTCCATCGTGTGTGTATGCCATGTTAATTTTCCATTTTGTTTAAGGCTGTCGCAACACATGGATCCTCATATACCAAAATTGCCATTGCTACTTTCTCAATGTAAGCATACTTCCTTGAAAGGGAATCATTTTAATAGACGTCACATAACCACAGACCGAATATTAGACTGCGCACGTCAAGTGTGTTTTTGTGGAGTTTAGGCAATTCTCATGAGGTAACCCGCTGGCAAGCCGGAGCCTTCGCAGCTGTGTCACGCAGCAGGTGCAGAATATCGGCGAAACACGCGTGTATGGTCTTTTGGCTAGCAACTGTGCTGTTAGCATGGAATACCTTACCCTAAAGTTTTCATAAAGTCGAGTGAATTGTAGGACAGCGACATGCGAATGAATCTGTTCAGATTGGCAAAGCTCTTCGAAACGTCAAAATCCTAATAAACCTGTTCCGGTGAGCCCACCTTCTTCTTCTTCTTCTTCAAATGAATGAATCTCTCTGAATATGTCGTTAACAGAAGCAATCACGGCGGTTTTTTCACAGGGCAGACAAGCATAGTAGGCTACCGTGAACACTAGTACGAAACGAATAAAAGTCAAGACTTACGGTCGTCATGGTAAAATATGAAGGCCCAATGCAAGGACCTGAACAGAAACGAGACTACTGAGCGTTTCAGACTAATCGACCGTCATAAGCTAGCTGCATATAATGCATCTGCATCAATGATCAGTACCCGAATAGTAGATAGGTTTGCAGCCAAGTTAAGTACTCTTAATGTTCATAAGAAGCATTGCGGATTGCCAGGGAAACCAACGAGCACCGCGGTGAGAGAAATGGTACTGGAGCCTCGGGTGTGCCACACTTCGGAGTTGGGAATGACTGGCTGACGACGGCTAACAAGCCAGAAATTTGCCTTGTTGGATTTCCGAGGAAATTAATGCGCGAGCTTGGAGTAAATTTTTCGAAACGGGCCTTTTCAGGCACGGCCCAAAGCCAGAAATGGCCATTCCAGTCTCCCTTGTCTTTGTCGGTAATGTCATTCTGCCTATATCATGCGCCGCTGTGCGGCTGCTGGTTGGGCTTGAGAGAGAGTCCATAAGGCACAACGGAACGAGTGAGTTCCACAAGAAGGATCGGTGAGCGCCCCCTAACACAACATACAAAAATGCCAATAAAGTGTGTGCAGTAATGGATTCGGGACATGGGAATTTTCACATTGTCTGTCCAGCATATTTTAAAGTGCTACACGTTGACAAGCTACTCTCCGAAATAAGTCCATTCTTCCGGTGAATAAGATCTGGGCCGAAAAGCGGAGTATTGTGAACGATGCTCAACGGCACTCAACGATCTCTAACAAAGATTGTAAAAGCATTGTGATTAGATATAATTAAAATACTTTAATTAGCCAACAGATTTGCATCCACTAGGGACCTGACAACATGCATGTTATGATGGAAAGCCATATCAATTTGTCAGGAAAGATAATTCGATGTGACTTATCATCAAGGGGATTAATTAAACCATTCCTCTCGGCGTTACTACGAATGAGCGTTCCAGCGTTTAAAGTCCTATTCTAAAGTCACGTAAATTTCTGGTTATACAATAGGACAGATCTAAAAACCTCTGTGTGATGTTAAGTTGGCAGGCGAATAGGCAACGCTACTCTTCGCTTCAGTGGCGTATCGGATCGCAGTCGAAATCAAACAGGTCCTGCTAACCGGCCACTACAATGTAACCGATACCAGTAGAGAAGCTAGGCGAATAACGGTTAGGCCTAAAATTACTCGACGATCTCATTCACCTTCAATAAGACTTGTAGAGAAAATTCTAAGGCGCCTTGGGTGGATCTCGCTTGTCCACCCTCATTGATATAGTGATACTGCAAAGAAAAGTATTTGGTTTTCGGTTACTATCGATCTGATTTGTGAATGTTTCCATAATCGAGCCACAAATGACCAGAGATTTCCTTTACTACGTGAATTAAATATGATAAAAGTCGGCATAATCTGTTGCAGTGGGAATTTTACGCGTGGGACAGCACGCCAGACAGTAAGCTGACGTAGTTCATGAAAACACAGAAACTGTCTGGATCTCAGCCGAATGTCTTATGGTGCGCCTTCGTATGAAGCTGAACGACGTAAAAGCAGAAATGCTATATCTCCAAAGACCCAGTTCGTCAAGGAGGTTGCCTGATAATGCTGGCGAGAAATGCCGGTAAAAAACAAGCCGGAGAAACGTGCAGACAAGACCTAGACGCACGTGAGATATCCAACGCGCCTTATAATATATTTCATGTGAGGCATTTTGACGTAAAAAATGTTGGTAAGGACCGGACCTTACCATTTTGACGCAGATTTTTCACATCAAAGGTTGCATTTTAGCACACGCATCGAGCTTGTTCATGACAACAAAGAGAAATGCCGAAATCTCATAGAATTTACGAGTATTTTAGATTGAAAAAGACGCAACGTGTGTGTAGTTTCCGGTAGTTGTTATCAAGCGACAGACAAAGGCAACGAGCCACGGGAAACTGGAACGTGCACCTTCTCCTTCGTCTTTATGTAGTGAAGCTGTATCAGTTCTCTTTAGTGAAAAGGTTCCTGACCCTTTTCAGAAAAAATCCCACGGAACTGAATCGTGGCTCCGTTTCAAGGGAACGCGCCAGGTGAACTTTTAAGAAGGCGCCAAACTGAAGGTGTAACACGCACCTTTTCAGCAGCTGAAGTACGTGTACCCTTCTCCAATAGTCCCATCCTACACGGATAGGGCAAGGGCAAACTGCCAGCCCAGACCACTTCTCTGTGTATTTACTTCTTCACCTGCTCCTGTGGGGTAGAATAGACTGGTCGCACGAGCCGGTGTTTGCCCAAAAGAATACGGGAACGCCTTCCACCATGGTTAGGAAAGGACCAAATAAAGAACGTCAACAGCTCTATCCTCGCCTAAATGATAGACACGGATTACTGTGTAAATGCCGGACAGGCATTCCGAAAGATTCACAAGGTCCCATCAAACTATCCGAAATTACTTGTGCAGCGTCTGTTGGCAACTGCAGAGGCGGCTGCAATCAGACTATACAAACCAGTTCCATGCGCACGAAAGAACTTCGTACAGGCCCCACAATTACCATGTACCAAAGCCCCCATGCCAGCCACCTGGGTATAATTACCCGTCCCAGTGCCCCACCATTTCCTTCCCCACCCTGACACAGACGGTGATTTTGTTTTTCACCTCCGCCAAATACGTCATCTACAGAATAACTTCTGCTTGCCCGCATTCCCCTTTTAATCATTTCGATAGCAATATAAATGTAAATTCCCGAAGAGACTTTATCGAAAGCTTACGTATACTCGCCAACTTTTCTTTCAAGTTCTTCAGTGGGAGTTTTCGCAACTCTAAAACATGGTACTGTTCAAAATGCATAAACATGGTTTTCCCGTGCTACTTGGAGACATTATTTGTACTCACCAGCCACCCAAACTTTTGATTATTGTTCGTTATTTTTGCGAGATCGACGACAAAGCTGGCGTATTCACTAGCACTGTCGCTTATTCTGAACAGTCATTTGAGCTAATGACGGCTATCGACTGGCTGGTATAGTTGGACATAATTAGCCGATGTCGGTCAGAGGTCAGATAATTGGGGTAGATGACTGGCGCGTTGACAGTGAGATTGAGGAGTAGTACTCGTATTGGATGAAAAGGTGAGTCAGCGTAAATAGCAGATAAGGGCTAGATAAATAATCTGATCAATAAAAAGTCGAGTGAGGATTAATCCTAATGCAAATAGTTATGCACAGAAATAAAACCGAAGGAGCTATGAACGCTACAGGGTCACCAATGTAGGTGATAAACCCATTAGTTGAGCACAGTGAGTAGGCTATCAAGGAAACGAAGATAGCAGTATACGAACAGTTACAAACTAGTAAATAAGAACAAAGTCGTTAGCAGGTAAAAATGCACGTGTTTGTTCTATGTCTCATTCAAAGTCGTGTCAGGTTCTTTAAAAAGCGCATTGTAACTGAGTAAAACAAA